GGAGAAAATGACCTGGGCCCCTAGACCCTTGACCACCATCCCCAGAGCTCTGAAATCCTGTTTGATAGTTTCCAAGTTGCCCTTGGCAGTATCATTGGTGCTCACGTGGAAGAGCAGCAGGGGGTAATAGTCGGATGGGTGGACAAGCCTCGACAGTCTTTCCATGGCATCTCGGATTCGCACCCCTGGCAGGCAGCGAACCTCTCTAGACAAGAGGTCAGGCCAGCAGATGGGTGCCTCTGTCCCCTGCAGCAGGGAGTCACCCACAACAATCACTCGCTGCTGGTTCTGGGTGTTCCTGTGTGGCACAGAGTCCACCGGCTCAGTTGCTTCCCTTGAAGCCATACCCAGCTCCTCCTCAGCTTGGAGGGCACTGAACCTGTTCATCAGCTGCAAGTCTTCAGGAGGAGCAAGAGCCTTTCTCCTCATACAAGGGGTGACCAGCTTCCAGCCTTCCTTTTCTACAGACTTAATGACTTGCTGTTCCACATGGCACAGAGCCTGCCTGCACCTCCACTGCTGTGGGGGGGTTGAGACTCCCGAAGCTGTAGGATCTCTGAGAATATCCTATCTCTCTCTTGCTCATCTTCTCGGATGCTACACAGCCTGCTGACTTCCTCCCATAACTCCTTTACCTGGTGACACAACTCATCAACAACAGCACACCTTCTGCAGAAAAATTGACTGTCAGCCCCAGCCTCACAGAGAGGCCCCAGGCACTCCCTGCAGCCTGAGACCTGCAGAGCTGCATCCACTGTCAGAAGGTCTGTCTGGGTGGAAGCCTCTGACATGGCAAACACAGCAACTCCAATGGCTACTGGAGAATGTGCTCTGCTGCGTGTCATAACCATATCTGAGGAAGCATACACTACTATGACAGGAGACAAAGGGGCCTTCTTATGCCCTTCTGCGCAAACTGCTGCATCTGTTGCCTGCATCTGTTAGCCGCGCTCTGTTTATGTTTATTTTGCTCTTAGCCTAGGGCTTAAAAGCCTATGGTAGAACTGGATCAATAAGAGTGCTGCTTAAAAATGCATCTGTTAACACTTTTATTTGATCTTTGTTTCTAAAATCAAGTTTACTGCTATGGGGATTACAGGGGGTAGTATTCTTCCACAGCATCACAAAGATATATATTAGAATATTTCAGTGCAGCTGTATCTTGCCACCCCAGTTTCCATACATTTATTTTACACCTTGCTAGTTATTTATCATGCAGTAGATATTTGGAGATCAAGACTGAGATAAAATTCCTAACTTTAAGAAAGGAGACTGAATTCCTTAGTTTCTCTTATTAAAAGGCTCAGGAGAGTGCCTAAAAAGGGGGAGGATAAATAACTTATCAGAGGTTCCTTCTGGTAACAAACAGTTTTGTTCCATTTGAATTTTGCTCTCAAGTTAATTGCAGGACAGGAGGAGATGGGAAAGTGTTGCAGGAATCTATGAATCCTCAAGTTGACAAAGAAAGTAGGTGAGGTTAGATTAAAAATTCCTATATGGACTCTGTTCTGAGAGGCACTGATTTAAATGAAGTGCAAGTAAGATCAGAATCGTTCTTAACTTTCAGAATTTTGGACTGATTGCAAACCAAATTAAATCTAGTTTTTTGCTTTTATTTTTTCCTACTTGCAGAAGGAGGAAAATCAGAGATGATTGGAAAGGGGTATTTTTACTGCAAAAAGGCATTCCTTTCTGTCTCCTTTGTCTTGTTTCCATTCTATGTCATTCAGAGCCTGACAACATACATTGTTATTTAATTTATTATTAACATAGTCTTTTCCTCTGTGGCTTGAGCAGAAAAAGATCATCTGCTTAAATAATACAACGGAAGGGAAATTGTACAAGAATTGGATTAAATTCATTTTTTTTATTTTGCAGTGCAGTATGTTCTTACCAGATCTGTCATTTTAAGGCATATTCTGTAAGTCATGTGTAATCAGGGCTTTTCTTCTACTGTTGGAAAAAGAACTACATTTTAAATAATCAAGCTCAAAAAAACAAAGAACCTCTACCAGTGCAGTGTTTCAGTAGAGCTGTATCTGGAAGCCTTGGAATTAAATGGCTTTGGAATAGAAGGGTCTTTAGATGCTGGCAAACTCTGATTTGCTCTCCAAAGTTTGTATTGCTGAAGCTGTTTCATTCCAAAGATTAAAAATGAGACCAGATCCTTTGGCCTGATCGGAGCAAAACACCTCTGAGCCAAACAATTGTGCTGGATAAAGAATCCGTGATGTACTAGCAGTGTTCAGGGTCTTGCCTGCTTTGCAGAAGTAGCTTGTTATGGAACAGATAAGATGTTAAAGCATTTCTGTCAAGAAAGCTAATGTTTTTTTCTGTTTGAAGTGTTGATACTAGGAGAGAGAGAACAGGTATACCTCTTGGCTGCACATCCCATTTTGTGCAAAGCTATCTCAATGCAGAAATGTTGCCAAGCTATGGTGAAACTGATAAATGTTCAAGTAAATAACATTTTGTTTCTGAAGCTTAGGCTGCAAACCACCAATAATGTAGCTGAATCTCAGTCCAAATTGATGAGTTCAGTATAGAGTCAAGAACTGACCTGCATGCTTAAGAACTCTAGTGTATGTGCACTCCAAGTTTCCAATCAGGTTTAAGATCTCATATGTTATATGCCATGTAAAAAAATAGCAAAGTGTAGTTTCTTGTCCTTAAGAGCTCACAGTCCAAGAAGGTATTATTTAAATACATATTCATTTTTGACTAATGCAAGATTTAAACACACCTTCTTAAACATTGTGTGTGTGTGTGGATCTGTGTGCATCTACACAGCAACTCACAATGAGAAAAGGTTTGGTACACTTGATGCTTAAAAATTCAAAACGATTTTGTTAATTGGTATATGTACTACTCTCACCCTTATATTTTATCTGCTCAGTCTGTATTTTCCGAAGATCACTTTGCTTTTGCAGTATTTTACTTTCATGTTTGCAGCATTGTTAAATAATATTGTGCTAAGAAGTTTCGAGTGGACTATAAATGTAGTTGTGATGCTTGGAAATAGATATTTAAACTGAACCTTTTTATAAAATGCTAAAAACTGATTTTTTTTTTCCTCTACCACTTAAAAGAAGTGAAATATAATGTTTTTGTTTCTTTCCTGCTTCCTCTCACCCAAAAACAGTGCATGAAGCTTTTTACTGAAAGCTATTGACTGCACTCTTGGGTTTCCAAGCACAAGTCAGTTAGATAAACTAAGATCACAGGACTTTAGTGTTACTGCTAGAGAAATCTATTCCTTAAGAATGACAGCTTTGTGTGTGTCTCTATTAGAGAAATTCATATTGCAGTTAATTACCAGTTAGTCATCTTACTGTTAAGGATCTGATGGTCTGTTTACACTGCAAGCTGCAGCCTATTGTAGAGATAGCTGAGCTATTTTTAAACAAGCTAGGTTGGATGTTAGAGAAAGTTTAGTTAGGGTAGCACAGGTTGTCTCTAAGAACCAGGACAAATCAGCCTGCTCAGGACTGGACCGTGACTAGGATCTAAGCTAGCTTGTTTATAAACAGGTTGGTATCTTTAGGCTATGCTGAAGTTGGTAGTGTATTATATAACCTGATTCATAAGAATAAAATCTAAAGTGGAAGATTAAGCTTTCTTTTGATAGATTAGAATGTTTATATAATTTAGTGACTCAGACTTACGAAAAGATTTATTCTCAGAATAAAGGGTCATGATGTTTTAAGTTAAGGGAAGGATAAGCCTATTTTGCAAAAAGCCAAATCATTAATGATGGAAGAAATTCCATGTAGTAAAGATTTCATCCATATGATGGTGGTTTGACTGTGACACAGAATCTAGTGTCTTAATTGGGTTTGGCATCGTAGCTTGGCACAAAGTGTGACCATAACAGTGAGTCTAGTCTGAATGCCACAGAGGAGATAGGTGGAAAGACTGAGCAGAAAAACAATGATGTGCTCTGTGTTCTGTCAGTCCATTACATTAGAGAAGCCTTTCTTGTGACTGAGGTGCCTTTGCATGTGCCCACTTTAGAGGTCTGTCTGTTGGGCTGAAGATGTATGTGGAGATCCATAGCCTTGGCACTGTTATACCCCTATAATAGTTTGGCTCTCCAAAATGGTGAAAAGATTTTCATTTAGATGCATGACCAAGCACATATGGTATCTAGAGTTACCTGTTATAGAAAATCAGTTTTCAGTATGACCACTTTTTAAAAATATGAACTGCAATTTAGGCACCACAAAATAAGGAAACTATAAGAAGACACTAGTTTGGGTATGTCCTCTTGACACTCCTCTCAGGAACTCACCATGGCTCTTTTGATTATTGTTTGAGGGAAACCTGTGATTATAGATTGAACGATCAGTAAAAGAGGTCTCTTGTCTCTTATCAGAGTACTTCATACTTGTTTTGCTTTAAAAAAAAACAATTGATTTAGGTTCTTTATTCAAGAAAGGGCAACTAGTATGTGAACTATAAATTGTTGAGCGAGCTCTTGAGTATGTATTTTTGTTTATTTTAGCCTGGATTCTATAAGGATTATTTTCTTTTCCCAAGAGTTTCTGTTTTCAAAAAGGGCTAATGACAATTTCCTATAGTAACCAACTTGCCAGCTATGTGCATAATAACTATTCCAGACAAAGATTTTATCTACCTGCTTTTTTGGTAAAGAATCAATTAGTAACTTTGCAATTTATTTATATTCATATATATATATAAACATATGAAAAATATTCTTTCAGTATTTGCTCAAACAGTAGATGTAGGTGGGAATAGACTGGGTTTGGATTTTGGAAGCCCTTCTTGATCATGGTCTAAAAAGGCAAAGCAGTGTGGTCTGGACCAAGGATCTGTGTGAAAAAGGAAGAAATCATAAAAGACTCTGCTTTAATCTGAAAATAGTGGGGAAGTGGATTTGTTTTATACCTCTCATATGATACTTAGAGGTGTATTCATACATTCTGGGTATGTGAAACAGCTAAGGTTTTCAACTACATCTCCCCTCCCCCCGCTTTCAGATAGTAAATCTTATAGAAGAAACTGGACACTTTCATATCACAAACACAACCTTTGACTTTGACCTTTGCTCACTGGACAAAAGCACAGTCCGTAAACTACAGAGTTATCTGGAAACACCTGGAACCTCCTGAGGATACAGCATGTGGCTGCATCAAAAACTTTTTGAAAGAAAGCATTTAGAGTGATGCAACCAAAATGGGGGAAAAAATAAACCAACCTTCTTCAGTTTTATTTTTATTTAAAGCCAGTCATCATCTCTTGATAAAGGAGAGGAAAAGGGACAAGACTCAGAGGACCACTCTTCTCACCAAGGAAATGATCGGGAAGAGTTAGTTTGGAAAGGCTTGAAAAACAAACACAAAAATAAAAAAAACAAACTTGTTCTTAATGAATGTGTATGGTATCATGTATCTCTCTGTGGTGTTCCAGTCCACAAGATGAATGCATGTTCAACATACTGCCTTATTACATAACTGATATATTTATTATTGCATTAAGTTGTTGAGGGAATGACACTACCAGATGTTGCAAGCACTTGGATCCCATGTACGCTTGTTTGTAGCACCATTGCCATCACAAGCCTTGTAACCTTATTCGTGTTAAAATGCCACTTACTGCTGACTTTCTCTAGTCACTTAAAACAGTATTGTTTCCACTTTTGCAGTTTCTGAAAACAAGATACAAAGTGGGGGACCAAAAGGTGGACCTAACTTGTTTCCAGTCTGCCACAGCAGGTTGGACCACAGGTCCTTGGCTCTACCCATTTATTGATGTTGAACCATGGTAGAAAATGTACCAAATAGGATCATATGCCTTGCTGTCTAGCCTTAGTCAATAAACTTGTAGGATTTTTAACAAAAAAGAGTTACTATATACTGTCCTGAATCCATCATAATTTGTCATCAACTTTCTTGTGTCTATTTTAATGTTATAATAATAGATATATTTAAAAAGGGAAGGGATTCAGAAGTGAAGGGAATGATCATAACAGGAGGGATATTGATCCCGTTTTCTAAAGAAATATTGTAGAAAATTCTTAATTTGGAACTATTTATTACTATGCGTTTCAACATTGCTGCTGCCAGTGTGTGACTCACCTTTACCAGAAAATTATTTGCATAACATTTTGGGGATTTTTACTTCTGATAAATTAAAAACCTTTCTTTGGAAAAAAAAATATTGGTTGTTATACAGTAACATGTTGGAATACATACATATGTGTGTATCTTTAACAGTTTCTAAATTTTGGTATCTGTTCAATAACCTGCTTGCATTTCCAGAAGGATTTCTCATCTATGAAAATGAGTGTTCTTTTCTATTAGCTATGTTTCTTTAAAATCAGGATCCTTTTTCCATGTGTGAGCAAATGAGATGATTATGTACATACAGTTTCACATCAAAGGTCAATGCTCTCTTATTGTCAGTTGTTTCCTGATGAAATCATCATCTTTCTCTTAGGAGTTCAGATCCCCAATGAAAGAGAATGTAATTAAGAAATACTTCTGGATCTGATTAGCCTTAAGAAAATAATGTTTTGTTTGCAGACAGGCCAGTATATTTCCCATGTATGTTTACATGCCACATGTATTCTTCTGTTCATATAAAGCTGAACAACAGTAGCATCTGTATGTTTTATTGTTTCATGCACATGATTTGTACAACACAGTGACTCTAGATTCCTACTGGGGTTATTTCTTATTCAAATGGAAAATCTCAACACTGTTTCTTTAAGTCCAAAGAAAATTTTACACTATTTTTGTTGTGAAGGGGTTTTTTTGTTGTTTGACTGCACTGCATGGAAAGTCCCTCTCAGGCTTCCAAAAGAACAAGTGTACTTTTTTCAAGTAATGTTATGACTCTTATTGATGATTGGCATGAAACATACTTGAAGCATTATGTTGTTCTTTAAATCCATATATCAATGTGCATTTGTTGGGTGGGGGAGGTGTCTTTAAAAGTTACTTTTGACATCAGGCAGATGATAGTAGGGAGGGAGAGGGTCCATGTGAGAAGAATTAACTCTAGCTTTTGTCAATATTTTATATGAAAATGTTTGTAAATCTAAAAGCAATCAAAAACCTTTGCTTTACTAGTGTACATTCAACTTGCTACTTTTTAGTTATATCAGCTATATGTGGATTTTTATCCATTTTGACTTTTCTATCTATATTTTGTGGTAAAAGCTCTTGAGTTTCAGGAAAGGAAGTACCAAAAGTTACAGATATCTTCTAGTATGAATATTGAATTTTCCACTGTTTTATATAAATGGTGAAATAAGTCATTTTACCAAAAAAATACTAGTTAAGTTTTATTGTACTTTGAGAATGGGAGTGGAATAAAAGGGGAAGTAGGGAAATCAAAGTAAAAGAGACATGACAGCAATTACAATATAATATTACTGCTGAATTTCATGCAAACCCTTGAGCATCCTTAAATCTTAACTTTCTAATTTGATGAGGTTGGGAGGGGGAGGGAAAAATGCACTACAGTTGCATTTGTGTGTGTAACAGTAAAGCCAGTTTTCCACAAAATGCTGATAGAATAAAAATCACTAAATGTTGATCTCTTAAAAAAAGCATTTAATTTTGTATGCAGAAACAAAATAAATCATTTTCCATTTAATTTCAAATAGTCGTATATCTCTTAGGAAGGGAATTTTATGATTTTTCTTTTATGTCCATCACATTTATAAGCATTGATATTTGGGACCAGTAAAAATGTTTTAGCGTATGCTCTATCATAACCAGTACATTGACTTTTAAGTGCAAAGGAATAAATGTTTTGGATTTTTATTTAGTGTCAAGCTTTTTGAAACAAACTTGAGTGTGTGAATTTGGATAATGTGTTAAGTTGATCAGAGCGAGGTTAGCAATAAATTGCAATATTTAAAAATATTTTTCAGCATCAGTGGAGCATTGTGGAGAATAGAAATTTTATCTATTAAAGAGGACAGTTTTATTCTTGCCATTAACACTTCACCTCAGGAAATGGATACCCAAGTCTGGAAGTAACTATTAATATCTTATTAAAAGTTTGGGTCCACTGAAAGGCTTTAGAAGAATTTTCGTTTCATCTGAATTTAAAAGCTATCTTAATCTACCTTAGCCATGGTAAAGAGGAGGAGCAAGAAGGGAGGAGGGGATGTAAACTGAACTGAGGAGTCTACAAGGTAAAGCTCAATCTGTGTCATCTCAGCAGTAGCCTTGGAATCATAAGTGTCAGTTGACTTTTCTTGATGAAAAATTTTCTATTTCATTGATTGGGGTTTTTTAGATTAAGTCTATTCTTTCTAATTTGGAAGCAGAGTACATACAGTACTGTGTGTTTGGAGTACCCTAATGTATTTGTATTAAAGTTTTTCTCCTCTGGGGAAAAATCTTAAAAAGTTCTTGGGTTTTGTACTGACCCCTTCCTCCCCTCCCCTAGTGAAATAAAATATGTGCCACAGATCATTCAAAGCTGTAATTATCTTGATTTTTTTGAAGCTATGTTAGTGTTCTAGGCCTTTTGAACAACCCATAAATTTCAAGCTCTGCTACTTAATTTGCAGAACTTGCTGGGAAAGTGATAGAGAGGTCTGTGGAGAAACCTGCCCTATTTAGTTGTGTGTTATCTCACCATTAAAGCAGTGTCTGGAGTAGAATGTTTGATTTGCTCTCATGTTGTAAGTTTTTATTCTGTGCACATTACTCCCCATCTTTTGCCACTTGCATTTTAATGGCAGACACTGTATCTTTTAATAGGTTCTTGATTCAATCTATAAGGGGACATCTTATATTTGTTCGTTGGTCTACTTATTTCTAGAGTTTGGTGCTAAGCTGGAATCTAGACCTTTCTTGGGATCTTGTTATTTACTCAGAGCTGCTCTGTATGCTCTGTAGTTAGGCAACCTTGAGAAAGTGGATTTTAAATCAGAAAGACAAAGCTGCCGCTATCTTTGTAGTGTAAATGTGTATTTTGGCCTTTGTAGTACAGTGCATTGAAATAGAGACTTATGATGGAAATGCTGGCAGGCCCTTAGCTGTAGTAGGAGCCACTACAAAAATAAACAATGATGTCAAACATATTCCAGAGATTCACAAGTGTAAGATGTATTTTTCTGAGCCTTGATAGTTCCCTTAACTGTTAAGTAATAAATAGTGTACACCAGGAAGTGTTTTCTTCTGTTGTACAGTATTCTGATTTTGATTTCATAGTTTCTTGACAGTGACTTATCTGAACTGTTCTGTATACTGTGCCTGGAAGACTTACTGTTGGGTATGAAAGGCTTAAGAATTTCCAGTGGATGATGGGGACTCCAACTCATGTTTCTAAAGCACTTTGATGTGTGCTTGGGAGTTAATCAATGCAATAGCACAGCTAAGCCAACAAACTTTATGAAGCTGTGCGTGAAAGAGCAGACAAATTTGCATCAAAGCACAATCATACAAGGACCTCACATTTACATTTACTTGAGCAGCAAGAAGTGCCACAGTGGCTAGACAGGAAGGAGAAATATTGCCACAATAATAGTGCCATTTCAGTTACAAAAGAAATAAATTGGTATATATATCGATATATGCACACATATATATGCATGTATCCATAAATGGTTGAACGTAGTTCCTTATGTTAATGGAGAGAATACTTGGTTAGATCTTCTTTAAGGCACCATGACAGAATTTTAAGGATGGCAGCTTCTTCATTACTGAAATAATTGTAGTGCTGTTGCTGATCTAATGATGAGAGGTAAATGTACTGTAGCAGAATACAAAAAAGTGATCTGTATTATGGTTTGAGATGCTAATATCTGATTAATGTTTATGTGAATATATTTCATCTTTATCCTGTTTTCTACCTCAGCCTGATTCATTCTGCTGTAAAGTGATACTCCTGTCTTTTTCTTTCTTCATTTACTTTTTTTTTCAGTCTGGAGATTTAAACAAAGCCAAATTCTGGCCTATGAATACAGCAGGAGATACATTGTCATCACTGCCATAATTCAGACTGTAAATATCCCTTTCTTGAATGTTGCATCAAACAGATCATGTATTTTCCTATGTTCTTTCAGACAACCAATGCTATAAAACTAGTCCTTCTATTAATAAATTTTGCCCTTGTCTTCTCTGTTTAACAGGGTATAAATGATTATCTCTAATTATTGCTCAATGAGAATAGAATTCAAGGTGTGTATCCTGTTCAGGAAATAGTAGATTTGTCAAATTGTCAGTT